TTTTATTGAAATTTTCTTTCGGGGATGCATTGGAAATCATAGTGAAAATGCTTTAATAAAACTTTTTAATAAATTTTTTTTTAATTCCTTAATTAGTTTTCTTATGGCACTAGATAGCTTTTTACCAGTTACTGTCATGTCTACTTGGTCTTTGCTTTAATAGTTGGGATTTTTATATTTTTTCTTCAAGTTATTTGGTTCATTGTTTGGGGAAAGAGTAAAAAGAGCAGGCGAAGGGGGAAGAAATATTTTTTTGTGAAAGCTGGACCTATGACTTGGAAAAAGCATTTTCTGTACTTTATGTTCAACAGAAAGAGAAACAAGCAGTCAACAATTATCAAATGTTACAAATTGCATTTATTTTTGTGCCGCTCTGGATGGCTTGATTTTCATTTTTTTTTGTTCTCTATATGATTATTTATGTAGGCCTTGGCAATCAAGACGTGCAACCATGTTTGTCAGTGGATAAAAGATGTGGAAAATGAAATATTTTTGCTAGGAGCTAGCCCCTTTTCATGGTGATTTCCTTGCAAATGCTGTAAACATGTACGGTAAATTTTATTCAATAAAATTCCTGCAGTTTATTCTTTTTAATATTCCTTTTGCTTAATTATTTCTTATAGAACAATAGAAAAAGAGATGGTCTGTGCACAATCATTATATTAAGAATTTGCGGAGTGTAGCCCTAAAGTCTTCGTTCTTTTCTCAGTCTTTTCTTAGAGTTGATACCTTACATCTATAAAAAACGTTTAACTGATTTTTGCGCTTCTAGTAATGTGAATGAAGTATTTGGTGGAGGCAGCCGATAGAACAGATACCATAAAAGGTTCTGCAATTGCAAGCTTTCCTTTTGGACGTTTCTATATTTAATTTGGATTTGTTTTAATCTTGTATCGAAACAATCTTGCTTGTGATTTAGTTTGAAACAACAAAAAGAATGGAAGTCGGACTCAGCTTGAACGTTCGGAGTATTCATTTTAATGTGCATGTATGGACTCCGAACTCAAGAAAGAGGTTTCTGTCTTGTTAATTTTTTGGTTTAAACCCTCATTTGGTCTTCGTATTTGTGTGTCAATCTCAAGTGGGTCATCGTTTTTTTTTTCCGGTTTCAATCGGGTTCATAAACTTGTAAAAATGAGTTAATTAAGTCCTATTCGTTAAGTTATCACTGACACTGTCTATTTGTGCTGAGCTGTATTTTTTTATATGGCATGACATTGTATATTAAATTGAATGAGTGATGTGTTGTACGATCAACAATTCCACGTGTGTTAAATTTTTATACTTTTTCTACTACCACTGGAAACCCTCCCAGAATCGTCCCACAGGCCGCGACGACCTCTTCTCCACCTGCCACCCACCACCGTCGCTGCACAATCTTCAATAATAACCCATTTTTCATAATGTTTCTTTCACTAAGGAAAACCCTTTGTCCTTATTTCTTCAAAGCAAATTCACTCTCTTTTGGTCCTCAAATAATATTTTCGTATCTCTTTCTGTCTCTCTCATTGTTGCTGGGAAGAACACACATCCCTTTCTTCCATTGTGAAGAAATCTCTCGCAACCACTTTCCCTTGTGACTTCTTCTTTTGCCTTATAATTTCAGCTCCCTTTCTTTGCAGTTGCAGATACCACCATGTTAATCAGATCAAGGAGTATTTGGGTGACAAAAAAAGAAAAAAGAATGGATTTTTGGAAAGTGGGGTTCCTTTGCTTTCTTTGGGCTTCTTCTGTTCTTGCCATTGGGGCTGTGGAGCTCGGTCGACATCAACCTACTAAGAATTTCAGGTGGGGTTCTTCAAGTGTGTGTGTTCTTGCCATTTGTCCTGAGATACATCGATCATTTTGCACGTTTCGTGTCCTTGCTTGGTTCTGGGCGAATTGATATGCGAATTGAAGATCGCAACTTAGGGTTTTTGATTTGGGACTTTTCCTGGATCTTTTGTGTTGTCTTGGTTGTAGGTTTGAATGGAGGCAGCACGTAGAGATTGGAGAGGTTGGGGTTTTAGGGTTCTTCGTGATTTTGGGTTGGTGATGAAGGCGCAACGTGATGGTGAAGAAGATGATTTCGCCGCTTTGATTTAGGTTGCAGGTGAACTGTACGAGGAGGTAATGTTTGTGCGAGGTGATGGCGGCACTATGCTAGGGTTTGGTGGCGACGAGGCTATGGTGATGGCAGCGCTCGTGGTTCATGGTGGAGTGATGAGGTTGCTTGCGATTTTGGGTGTTTATGGTGGATATTGTGTCGCTCGCGGCATTGACGACAAGAGAAGGATACGCACTGGCGTGATTAATTGTGTGGGTGGTGGTGCGTGATGGAAGATGGTTGTCCAATGAGATTAGCATGGTGGTTGGTCGTGGCGGCGAGGATGGTGGGGAATGACACTGTTGCGGCGGCTAGCTTCACCTAAAAAATTCCACGTAATATAATACCGACACATCATCATTTTAAGTGTGCATCACGTCATCACAATTAGATGGCGTCAGTGATAACTTAACGGAGAGAGCTTAATTGACTCATTTTTACAAGTTTATGGATCTGATTGAGACCGAAAAAAATACAAGGATCCATTTGAGATTGACACACAAATACGAGGACAAAAATGAGGGTTTAAACCTAATTCTTTTAATCTTATTTTAGTATTCTATTATGATTTTTAAGTTTAATTGGTCAACTTTCTAAAGTCAAGGTCCAGAAGTGATTATAATAATGAAAGTGTTTTTCCAACTTAAGAAAAAAAAATGTCACTGGGTTAAAGGTTGAGCCATCGTTAGATTCTTCCTGCACTTTTCTAGCTTTCTTCCTGCATTCCATATTTTTTTTCCCATTATCCCTTTTTGGATAGTACAACCTATACAAGTTTTTTTTTCCCACTTTGGCAGTGTGTAATCGGAAAACTAAAAGAACTAATAGTGATTTGTAGATTGTGTAATTAGAAAACCAATTTTTCATTTTGAAGAATTTTTTTTAGATTGTATAATTTGAAAATTAAAAATAATTATTGGATTCCATACTTCGGAAGTCAAATAATTACTTCTAGACTGTAATTTGGAAGTTAGTTTTTTAAGAAAAATAATTTAATTTGGGGGACATTTTTTTAATTTAGAATGGTATAATTTCAAAGTTATTTTTTCACTGAGATTTGCATCTCAGAAGTATTTCTTTTAGAAAAAAAGTTACTTTTGAATTGTAAATTCTGAAAGTCTAAAATTATTTTTAAATTTACTATTTGAAAAAAACGAAATGGAAAAGAGTACGAAGACCCAGGAAGAAACTGCCTAGGTGGCGTGAGTTTGGTTGGTTTGTCCATTCTGTTTATGGGTATGGAAAGTATTAACTATTTTTTTTTCACATTCTTTATTATTGATTATAAGTGACAAACTTTGATCTAGTTTTTAATTGAATAAACCTTTTTATAATTTAACCTTTTTAATAAATTTTAAATAATTATATATTGATGAATATATATATATATATATAAGAAGAAAAAACAAAATCAAATAACCAAAGGTCCAATTTATAAAGGGTATCCTTAAAGCCCAGGACGAAGATTGTTGGATATAGAGGCATACCTTCTTATATCTGGAATGTATTTTTGTATACCTCTCCCCATCATAGGAGTTTATTTCACGAAATCTCTTTGCATTTTAATGGGATTTTTTTTATACTGTTTTTACGAAATTTGTGAGTAGTATCTGAACTGGAACCAGAGATCAACAATGTCTGGATTTTTGGTTCAGAGTAGTGTTAGAGAGATCACCTGTAAAAACTAATGTGATAATAGTAAATAATGTTGAGTAAAAAGTGAAGGTGAAAGTATTTATAGAATTTTTTGGTTCTAAGAAGAATATATCAATAGATTATGGTGATATCTTGTTAAATAATAATTGAAATATACATATTTCTTAAGTAACAACATTATCTCTCATTTTAAAAATACTTATAACAGTGAGTGTAATGAATTAATAATAAATAGTATTAAGTAAAAAGTGAAGATGAAATTAAGTATTTATACACTTTTTTTTTGACAGATTCTGTTGATGTACGATTAATTAAAATATACATATTTCTTAAATAACAACATCGTCAAGATACTTATGATTAATTTATTTTAAAACTTTTGTTATAAGTTCCATTTTTATTTTGATTTGGTTAAAAAGTTATAGGTATTTTTGAGGGTATGTATTATTGGTGAGTGTGGGTTTAAGTTGTAATAGAGAGTGAGTGTATAAATAAGGGTGGATGCAAAGGCATGTGTACCAAAATATGATGCCCCATTAAATGCATGGATGTGAATGATGATAAGGTGCGTTCAATATAGTTGGGTGGGGAAAATATAATAAATAAGAAGAAACTTTTTGCTCCCAACCCTCTTTCATCATTTACGTTCCCCATCTCCATTTTGTCAAACCCACTATTCACCAATTTTCGATATCAGAAAAAAGCTATGTTCCCCACTTAACTCCACCACCCTTTACCATTATCACCCTAACACAAATCACTCATCTCTATTAACCAAAGTGCATCTTCCATTATTCACACCATTACCATAAAGTAACTCAATTTTCCCAATAACCCCATCAACTTTATTAATTCATACTGCCCACTATTTTCGTGCCTGGATCCCACTACAAAACAAACCTTAAAAACGCTTTTCAATTCAATTACGCGTTTCATTAATTGTCTCTCGCCCTCAAACCATGCGTTTCCTTCAACACAGGTCCAAATTACAAATAACAACACAACTTCTGGGAGTTACTTCATTAAGCTAATTAAACACCGGATTAATAATAATAATAATAATAATAGCATTAAAAAAATCATCTCGGGAAAGATGAAATCCATGCAACGTTTCCAGTTGACTCCCAGCACCACGGCAATAAATAACACCTTGCAAATTTTTCAATATAATAACTATATTTTTTGTTATTATTAATATTAATATCAGTGCGATTTAATTTACTAATATAATAATCACGAACATAAATGTACTTGTGTTGTGAGAGCTATCTTTCTTTTCTTTCTTTTCTTTTCTTCTAGCTAACTCTTCATCTTCTTCTCGTTCTTCTTCGTTTTCTCTCTCTTCTCTGGTTTTTGTGCCTGTGCTGTTACGGCACTGTCTTCTTCTCATTTGCCGAGGTCCGAGGCCTCACCGGAGAGAGGGGTTGGATTTGGCCGGAGTGGAATCTCCGGCGAGAATTAGCGGCCGAGGGGATCGGATCAGTTCTTGAGAGAGAAACTGTGGTGAGGTTAGCGAGGGAGAGAGTGTGAGGGGGGGAAAATGTACAAAAACCAGCTTCAGGAGCTGGCACAGCGAAGCTGCTTCAACCTGCCTTCCTACACGTGCATTCGGGAAGGTCCTGATCACGCGCCGCGTTTCAAGGCCACGGTTAACTTCAACGGCGAGATCTTCGAGAGTCCTCAATACTGCTCCACGCTCCGTCAGGCGGAGCACTCCGCCGCCGAGGTCGCGCTCAATTCGCTCTCCAACCGTGCTCCCTCTCACTCCCTCGCCGCCAGGATCCTCGTGAGTTTCTCTCTCCATAGCTTCTTTTTTCTTGTGTGTGAAATTACCGAACTATCCTTGCTCTGTGAACTTTGCCGTTGCGTCTTCGTTTGTTATGCAATGCCGTTTCGCCTTCGTTTGGTTTTTGAATTTAAGGTTATTGGTGAATTTTGAAGCTAATTTGAGTAATTGTTATTATTGGAAATCGATTCTGTGAATGAGATCGTGAGATTCGTTTCTTAAAAAGTGCTTCAGCTTTTTACTCCTCTGTTGTGAATTTTCTTAATTTTATGCTGATGCTCTTCCTTTTTCTTGTGTTAACTTGAGAATAATTGTAAGCATTGTTTGTTTGCTTCACCGAGAACTCTCGCTCTCTTCTTTCCGCTGCGCGAATATTTTATGCACGTTTAAGAGTGTTTTATTCGAAATTTATGTTTAAAAGCTTCGTTTTCACTGTATTTGTGAAGATATTATTGATGGTTTTTTGGTTTGTGTTCTTATTATACTTTTCGGGTTGATGTGCTTACTAGATGTAAATTGTTAGGATGAAACAGGAGTGTACAAGAACCTTCTGCAGGAAATTGCTCAGAGGGTAGCGGCGCCATTGCCGCAGTACTTTACGTTCAGGTCAGGATTAGGACATCTTCCTGTGTTTACTGGGACAGTGGAGTTAGCTGGAATTATGTTTACTGGTGAACCTGCTAAGAACAAGAAACAAGCGGAGAAAAATGCAGCTATGGCGGCTTGGTCTTCTCTAAAGCAATGTAAGTGACTGGCTAGCTTTTGTCTGAATGTTTTTCTTTCATGTGAAAAGATATGGAACTTTTACATCAGTTTGTCGTATGAATATTGCTTCAAGATGCCATAAAAGGGAACAGTGGCGATTCCCGGCCCACCACTGTATTCCTAATTCGTGTAACTAATTTTGCAATTAACCATGAGGAAATTTTCATATTATGGGATTGCTGAGGCAGTGTACTCGCTGTTCCTACCCAATATGCTCTCTTGTAGTTTCCTCTTATCCGTGGTAGAGGCCAAAAGCATCTTTGAAGATTCATCCTTGCCCCTTTCGACTTTCCTTTGAGAAACATTATATTATGTGCCAGATGGTTTTACCTGCTTACGTGCCTTTCTAAACTACCTTCAATCCACTCCTTTTTGTATTCTAGTGAGTTTTAAGTGGGCTTCCTAATAGCAGCAAATCACACTGCTAAAGTGGCAATGCAGGGTGGGGTGGTTCATGGCTGCTGTAAATTATTCTCTATCTTAATGCCCTTGAGCAAGTTGTAGTTGATATTAATTGGGGCAAAACTACACCTTTAGCACTGTAAACTCTAGGGGTGTAATGCCTGTTTTATGGTAAGATCCGCATGTCTGTCCCAGCTTAAATCCAGTGAAGAAATCTTTTATTTATCAACTCTGGAAGTTTACAAAATATGTAATCGTGTTTCCTAATTAAGGTGAACTGATTAGAAAAAGGCCACACCTGTTTAGCCTTAAGTTTTCTTCCAATTTGCTTTACAACTAAATTCTGGAAATTCAAGCATTCTCCCGTCAGAACTACCTTCTTTGGGGCAGACCAGTCTATGCATGTTATCCGGTCTTTGCTCTGTCACTACTGTTTCCTACAACTTTATAGATACAGTATGACCTTTCTATCTGATTACACCTGTTACTTAACTGACTAATTATTTTTTTCGTTTGGTGCACAGACCAGCGTTCAAAATTGTTTGGCAATAGTAGTCCCCAGCTACTGTTCTAGTTCCAGCCATTCAAACTTTTCTGCTTCCAAATTCCTGTGCTTGATATACTGACTTGTTTATTGCCTAAGTTGAGTATAGTTCAAACTAGTTTGACAATAGTAGTCCCCAGCCACTGTTCTAGTTTCAGCCATTCCAACTTTGCTGCTTCCATTTTTCTGTGTTTGATATGCTAACTTGTTTATTTCCTTAGGTTGAGTATGATTGTGCCGCCTAGACTAATAATGTAGTCTTCAATTTTGATAGCTTTTAGTTTTTTGAGTGTTTGTTCATGTGTAGTATAAATTTCCTGTCTCCATAACGTTTAAATACACTGGCAATTTTTGGGTTTGCGGGTCAGACTGCTATCTGCTATTATCTGTCACTAACAACTGTGGCCCTTAAGATATGTATAGCTGATGAAGTATGAATTAACAATAATTTTCTTTCTTGACAGTGGCAAAAGAAACTGCAAGGTCTTCAACTGAACCTGAGAACAACGACGAACTGGAACAGATCACTATAGCACGGGCTTTGCGAAACTACCGTCTGAAGGAAAAGATTTCAATGTCAAATCCAAATGCGCCTATTCCATTTCCAAAGAAGTTTCAAATTCAAAATCCCAGACCAACCAGTCCTCAGCCTCCTCCTGCTGCTACATCAAAGATTCTTCCCTTAATATGCCAAAAGGCAGCTTCTCGAAGCAGGCATCCTGTCGCAGCATCGCCAGCACCAGCAGTCAGTGACAATTCTGCTATGCCACAACTCTCTGCCACATCAGATAGCCGAAGAATTCGTCGCCCTAAGTTCCCTGCTGCTGGAGCAGCACCTTATGTTCCCATTAGACAGATGAGACCACCTTGCCAGGGAATGGCACCTCCGGTGACGATAAGGACTTCTATACCTGTATTCTCTCCACCACCGCCAACAGCCGCCACAATGTCTCTTCCAGTACTACGAGCTCCTCCTGTACGAGTTGCTCCTCCTGTTACTATTAGGCAAGCTGTTCCAGTATTTGCGGCTCCACCTGTAAGAATAGACGAACCTGTTCCCAGCCTTACCAGCCTAGAACCCGTTCCTGCCCCAAAAGACGATGCTCCAACTATTAGTTCCCCCAGCCTGGAAGACAAACTACCAGTTAAAACTCCAGAGACAGAGATGAAGACTGAGAAAATTTCAGCTGAATCTGAGACAGTGCAGAGCTTGGCACAGCTGAAAATTTGATGCTTCATTGGAGTTGAGGTCTGAATCCATGAGACTGTGGTCATGGTTCTATGACGATGTGGAGTTTGCTTCTCATGTTATAATGAGTGATGTAATATCATCCCTTCCTTTTGTCCTGTTAAAATCCGACAGTTGGTGCCGGATAGCATCAGCGGTCCAAATATCTGTGAAATTCAAGAGCGGTTTACCATATAATTTGCCCTTTTTATGTTTATTTTTTTATGTAGTTAGTCATTTACTATTTATTATGCAGATTCATGCGCCATCACTCTTATTTGAGCAGGCAATTGGGGCTGATTTGAGTTTTGTCTTTTGTTTTGAAATGTTAGCTCGTTCACAAAGAAGCCTCAGACACAGGAATTGCATTGGACGCAGTTCTATATACATCCTAGCTCACTGTTCTTGACATATCAATGCACCTATCTGACCACTATCAGATTCTCCAACTTCATAAACTTTTTCATCCAAAGTTGTTTATAGTCGTTTTGGATGGAAAATCGTAAATATAATAATAAATTTATCTCAAATGAATTAAATGTGTATTGGTATAGAAAAAATTTATTCAACATAAATACGGGGTTGTTTGTGTCATTATACATAACTGAGGGATAGTTAAAACAATGTTTTCATAATGTAGGTCATGTGTATCTGTATATGATGCAAGTACAAGATTTTGTTGACGTAATTTTAATTACTGAAGATATTTTTCTTTAGTTTCTCAAATATTTAATATTTAATTATTCATTCAATATTAATAGAAACATAAGAGTTATTATGAATAATGTTTCTATAAATGTGTCAGGAAAATATGCAATAACTAAATAAAATAGAAGCGATAAGTTTTACTTTGTTTAATATATTTTATTTTTATTTAAATATTTTAAAATTTTCTCGGTCGATTATTGGTTAAAATAATTATATACATTAAAAAAATATATGTATAATTTTAAGACTTAGATTTATAATTCTTATTGATTACTGTTAGAAAAAAAAATTACTTAATATGTTCCGTATAATAAGATTTAATGTTAATTACATTTTTTTTTAATTTTAATCTTTCAAGCAAAACTTTAACATGACTTAACCTTGTCAAATCCTTAATTATTTTAGGCTCAATTTAACTCTTTGAGTTTGACCTAGCCTAAACATTTATTTAAGGATTTCTTTTAGGTTATGTATAAATTAGCCAACAAAGTTTTGGCCCAAATAAGCTAAACGGCTATTAGTATAAAAAAAAGCGTATATTTAGATTTAAGTAATTCATTAAAAGGTCAAATACGGTTTTTTAGTCCTTCTAAAATCGGTAATTTGCTTTTAATGTGTTAAAGATTTTTCGTAAGCTTTTTGTTTTTACAAAATTAAAACGTATCGAATTTTATTTTCGTTAGGTGATCTCCAATATGAATTCTTTTTAAATTCTTTTGATTTATTTTTAGCAGGTCTTTTAGTTCCCACACTATAACATTATTTTAAAATTTGATACAGCACTATTCAACAATAAATCACTGTGCATATTTCTACAAAGAGAACTCCACAACCAATAAAAAAAATCTTTGTTGCAATCACAAATTTGAATATGGTCATTACTCCTATGTTAGGTCTCTTGTTTTTAAGACAATCAGAACAACACATTCAATTATGCTTCCGATCTTCATTAATATTCTGACATTTTTTCTTTACAAAGCCAGAGAAGAGTAATATTTTTAAAATATGTATGTGTCTTCAACAATCAGAAACTCCAGATTTTAGTAATGAAAAGTGAATTATTCATATTTTACATGTTTCATTATACTTCTCACACATCACTCAAAACTAAATGTCACAATACCTTTTAGTTTTATAGACATAAAAATATTTCTTTTTTAAGAAACTAAAATAAATAACCAAAATTATAAAAGAAATATACAATCATATTTTATTTTATTCGTTTATGTATCTATTATTTTTGTCCTTTTCTTTGTAGAGAAGAGTCATGATAATATAATTTTGAAGGTATAAGAGTTACCTCTTTTGAAGGCGGTGTTCACATCAACTTGACTGGCTGTCAAATTCAAAACCTAATAGTTCCAGCCTTTGATGTAGGCTTTTTAGGTTGAAATAATTTTGTTTTTCCTGTTGTTATTAAATAAGGAAATTGTTTCCATGCGTTTTATAATTATTGTGAAATTACTATTTTTAAAAAGAATGTAAAATTTAACGACGTAATGTTGAATTTGTAGTTATATTTCTATTGTTCATATTTTTGAAAATTAAACAATAATAAAAAATTGATCAAATTAGTCACATTTATTTAAAAATATGTACATTCATCTTGTTGTATATCGATATCATACGAAATTATTTTATATTTATATACAATTTTGCGAATGTAATTTGTCCAGAAGAAATTTCAATCTATGAGTTTTGATAAAAAGTTATTTAACTAATAATTATCGAATGGTATAATAATTTATTTTAAGATATTAATAATAATAATAATATTATTATTATTAATTAGGTTCTTTTAATAAATGCCTAAACTATATTTATTTGTGAACTAATAAATATTCTTCTTTTCATTAAAAGCTATGGCTAGGCTGTATTAATAACTTTAAATATCATATTTCTCTATGCAAAAAATCTTTATGAGTTTTTATTTCATCTCTTTGTAAGGTATATGTTAAAATTATTATACAGTACTTTCTGATAATTTCTTCAACAATTGCCCATAAAATAATTTTGATCAAGTATAAATCTTTCTATTCTCCATGCATGAAAATTAATATCTCTAACATTATATTGAAAAAGAAAATATTTTAACACAAATTTTTTTAAAGCATTTTGTCACAACATATATATTAACTCTTTATTTATTTATTAATGTGTTGATATATATTCTAAATCTAATAAAAAAATAAAAAATAATATATATATTACGTCAAAATGATATACTAAACCTAATAAAAAACAAAAAATAATACATATATCACGTTATGTGGAAATGTTATAAAAGAATCTTTGCTAACGTATCGTAATCGTATTATATATATATATATATATATATATATATATATATCTAACGTAAAACCTTTGTGGCTCTGATCATCCACCCACCGTACCTTTTACCGAGAAAATTTCATTGCCATTAATTCTTAGTTCTGTAATTTGTCTTTGGCACGTTGTTCTGAGAGAGTTGAAAACACTGACTCTCGAGAGTGGTTCAAATGTGAAATCACGTTAAACCAGATGAAATGCAATCCTAATCGTCAAGTCATTTTCATGCTGTGTAGTCCTGATGAAATCACTGTTCATAGAGACTTAAATTTCAGTTTGCAAATAATGTAAATCTCAGAATGGTGACAAGAGAAGAAGAAGATGATGAAGAAGAAGGGTTAACTGAAGCTTCCATAATTAAAGCAGCAGAACTTACACTAATCATCTGCAACCTTTCTGTGTCTCAGTCTTAAATGGAAGTGCAGAAGGACTGATGGGGTGGTAGTTGCTCTTTGTTTAATGCTTCTTTGAATTCGACACAATTTTAAGCTGACCATCATTCTTCCCAATTTAATAATTATTATCAGACAGCTCCTCTTTTCTATAAACATTACAATCACAAACTGCAACTATGTGCCATAATTGACTTCAGAGATTCCCAAAACGTATAACTGCTTATTCCCATTCATTTATTGCCTTTCAGCCTTGTCTTATTTCTCTCTCTCTTGAAATCTCTTCCTAATCATACACTTATTATTATATATTCTGCATCATATTATTCCATTGTTTTGCTTCCTATATGATCTTATCTACAAAATTAGAACTACGTTACATTCTTATCTTTGGACTCTCTTTAAGTGGGGTACCTCAGAATAACATAAAGCCAACAAAGATCAAACCTTGATGCAGACGCATCAAACCCAAATTCATCTGTTGCCTATAACCAACACAACATTGTGTTGACTAACCTTGTTCACAAGTTATAAACTTCCATTGTTTTGTGTTTTTTTTCACTTTTTTGGCTACTGCCTTCCTACCAAATTCATAGTAGAGGGAATTTTCTTTCTGCAAGTTGATTATGAAAAAGAAGGTCGTTAAGTGGCCTGTACGATGTTATCGATATCCCACTTTGCATATTTAACAAGTTCATAGATAATGATGTATTGTGTTACTTTACAGGAGAGAAAAAAGATTACTACAAGGGAAGATAGAAAGAGTGATGAGAAAGGATTTTACATGGTGAATTGTCTGAAAACTTCATGATAATGAGTAATAGGTAAAACTGTAGATGGGTCCCTCGCATATCACAGATACGATTCTTGAAAATTTAATTCATTCCAGTTTGTTTGGACCTTGAATGGTAATCTTTTATTGGTGAGACATTACTACTTAAGAACAACAAATTCAATATGATTCCACATTAGAGTGTATATATACCAACAGGTTTTCAAATGTTAAGAGTGCAAAAAAGATAAAAGGACAAACACATTATTCCTTACCACCAACAATATTACTGCAATCTGTACATTTTATATCAGTTAAAAAGAATGTTCTGTATCCATTTTACTGCACTAAAATGCTTTTTATTCTATATATATCAGAGATGCCATGTCGTCTCATTTTTCATGATAACAAGAAACAAACATCATCGGAGTAATTAATATAAGAAGATGCCCTTTATAGTTCAAAGCTCTGGTTATTTGAAAAACCATGTAGCATGTAATGCATCAATTCTTCATATAACCAACCTAAGTTTAATGGTAATTGATGCAGTTATCACATTTGTGTGCTGCTCCAATATTGTTGAGGTTTCATTTCTTGCAAACACTAGTGGTGAGTGATCACATATAGTGACTAATGGGTCCCTTTCTTCCTTTAAATTTGGCCTAATTATAATGCTCTTTATGGAAGGTTAGGAGCACAAATCAGGTAGTTATAGAATGTCAATTAATTTGCTTGTCTTCTTGTTGAAAAATCATTGTATGGTTCTGGTAAGGTAATGTATCCAATTTCAATAAAAAACTTAACACAATTAAATGAAAATGATTATATCTATTTGGTTTTAAAGTTGAAAAACTAAAATATATGATATTCTAGAAATTAAAAAGATAAGCCTTATAGCCGAAAGTAAGGTTTTAAGAATTGGTATTGTGTAAAAAATGTTGTGTTGGTAGTAAGTTTGACAGTGTTTGGTGTAAGAAAGATTTGTATGTCAGAAGATAAGATAGGTTAGTATTGGGAGTGATAAGAAAATGGGAGATGGATGAAACGAAGTACAT